TCTTTTTTGCTCACCCAAAATGTGGCAATCCTAGATCCTTGGTCTATTTTAGCTGTGTAGTCACTTTCACCTGGCAGCAGCATTCTAGAGAGTTTCAGCAGGATGTTTAGCCCTAACTGGAATGCAAGAGTTAGACCTAGAACCTAGGACCTTCTGCATGCAAAGTTACAGCCCTTCCCCTAATATATACAGTGGAACCTTGGTTCTCCAACGACAATTAATAAATCAGCTCTGACACTTAAAAAACCCGAGAACTAAGTGTTCCATTGTTAAATGTTTTTGGAAGCTGAACATCCAATCGGTTGTACAGCTATTTGTTTCTGGGGTACTGCGCAATCAGGAGCCACGCCTTGGTTTCAAATGTTTTGAGAGTCAGGCAGACTTCTGGAATGGATTAGGATTAAAAGGGCAGGGACCACTGTATTACATTTACTTAAGGCCAAGTAAGGCATGCAATGAGAAAAATTGTGGGCGCACTTTATCATGGAGAAGCTGTCAGATTCAATCTGGGAAACAAAGGCACTTGGTGATAATCCATTAAGATTGTCATTGAATATAGGATACCGTCCTATGGATACCAGTTTTGATGTTGGATTTCCTAAGGGCAAATATGCATATTCCAGAATGGCTGGGTTAAGCGAGGTCTACACTGGTATATCAGTCATGAGATGCACAGCCTAAAGATTTACAAAGGAACATGGTATCAGATGCCATAGAAGAAAATCGTGCAGGACTGTCATGTGTGGCTGGGGCCGTCTTGCAGGGGTGCAAGGGATGGGGGGCGTCAGGATGCCGCTGACTGCGCCCTGGTGGCTGTGCGGCTGGACTCTGGTGTTGCTCATAATTTGCATTGGCCGGATCTGATGGAGAAGGCGGTGCAGGGCCACTCCCTACCATGGGCTGCTCAGCTGCGGGGCCCAGTGGCGATTCGCCTCACTCCACCTTTGCAATGCCCCCCACCCATCTGGCATAGCCAATCAGGTACCGGAGCGTCGCCGTCACTGTCCATGTGCACTGGGTGCACTGGAGGAGAAGGCCCCATGCTGCCAGAGAGGAAGGAGAAACGTAAGGAGTCCCACCACGTGGCCCTGGGCTGGGCTGGTCCGGGCTACAGAGCCCGGCGTACAGAGCTGCGCTCCATGTGGATTTTTTGTGGCTCCATCCCGCGTGCAACGTGGTTTTCACCTGGCGCTTGCCTTTCTCTGGGCAGGAAGGCGGGAAGTAGTTAGTCACGAAATCAGTCATGTCAGAATTTGGGGGTGGTGGGCGGGTCTTTGTTTGATGCATTACTGTATTTTAATATTTTGTTGGAAGCCTTCCAGAGTGGCTGGGGAATCCCAGCCAGATGGGTGGGGTATAATTAAACAAACAAACAAACAAACAAACAAACACATAAATAAATGTAATTTGCACCTCAGCGGCGCATATGCTAAATATGGTCCTGTGTTTGTGTGTGTTAACAAACCAATTGCTTTCTCCACATGCTTGCAAAGCTTGCCTTTATTTCAATACAAGTGAATTTCCTTTATGATATACAAACTGATATACAAAACGTGACTTGAACTTTCTGCGCAACAGCAACTGAAAACTGTTACGTGTCCCTCTCTCCTGCATGTGTTTTCCTCCCTCTTTATCCCCTTGAATTGCAAATCACTGATGCATGGTCTTCAGCCTTGAAGTTCAAATCAGATTATCTTCAAATATTTCAGCCCACAGAGGCAATGTGGCCTTTACATGCCTTGAGATCAAAGAAATGCTGTGTAACCTTTCAGATAATATAATGGTGTCTGTCGCAAAACAGGGACAATAAAACATAGAGAGAGAGCAGGTCACAAAGAAACAAAGAGGTCACAGAGTCACATGGAACCCTTTTCAGTATTCTGAGATAGGAGCAGGTAGGTGAAACTAAACTAACATTCTTTAGAGGGCAAAATAAAAATGTGTATGAATGCATACCCTCCGACATTCTCCGATGAAAATAGGGACGCCCTATTCACTAATAACAATTTTACTATTTCGACCACGCCCATCTGACTGGGTTTCCCCAGCCACTCTGGGTGACTTAAACATTAAAAAAACTTGCCTATACAGGGCTGCCTTCAGATGTCTCAGGGGTCTAGTAACTCCATACCCTCCAACATTTCTCCAGTGAAAATAGGGACTTCCTAAGGAAAAGCGGGACATTCCAGGATGAAATCAGAAACTGGAATGGCTTCTGTAAATCCAGGACTGTCCCTGGAAAACAGGGATACTTGGAGGATCTGTAAATACTGCCTTGTTAGTGTGCTTGTGCCCATATCCTACTTTGGGATACAAAGGATTGAATCTGAGACTCATGGGATTTTAGTTTTTATTTATTTATATACCACTTGATTGTAGTCAAATCTCTAAGCAGTTTGCATGAACGATTTTAAGTGCTTTGCAAGCAACACATGCATTTTGTAGGAATGCATTTTGTAGGACTCCATTTTAAACATATTTATGCATGGAATAAGGGACGTGGGTGGCGCTGTGGGTTAAACTACAAAGCCTAGGACTTGCCGATCAGAAGGTCGGCAGCTTGAATCCCCACGACGGGGTGAGCTCCCGTTGCTCGGTCCCTGCTCCTGCCAAGCTAGCAGTTCGAAAGCACGAAGTGCAAGTAGATAAATAGGTACCACTCTGACGGGAAGGTAAACGGCGTTTCCGTGCGCTGCTCTGGTTCGCCAGAAGCTGTATGCCGGCTCCCTCGGCCAATAAAGCGAGATGAGTGCCGCAACCCCAGAGTCGGTCATGACTGGACCTAATGGTCAGGGGTCCCTTTAACTTTACCTTTATGCATGGAATGCATGGAATCCAGACTGAGCTTTGCCCACACTGAAGCACTTATTGCATCAAATGTCCGTTTATTGTTTTACATAGTGTACATGCAATGTTTTTGTGTCTTCTGTCCCCTCGCCCATTCTCTCTCCTCTCCTCTCTTCTCCCCTAACTTTATACTGTTTACAACATCAGGTCTTACATCAAATATAATTGATCTGTAAAAAAGACTTTATGATCTGAAAATAGAGATGATGTATGTGCTTTTGTAACCCAAAAAAATCTTTAATAATTTTTAAGTCAATTTATGCCCAAGCTACATCACTGTAACAAAATATATATACCAGCAACTGATTATATACATAGACTACACACACACACACACACACACACACGTGTATATGTATATGAGGTACAATATTTTTGAAGGATAATTATATAAGTATTAGCCAGGAGTGCCCAGCCCTGTCTGGAAATTAATAGAAACCAAAAAGTATTGTGTCTTTTAAGTGGATAGTGTAATTTGTGAGTTTGGACCCATCATGCAAACAACCAACCAACAAATTAATTCGGCATTATAGTCTGCTACCTCCAGTTCAAAGTGGCACTTTTAAATGAGAAGACTTGCTTATCTTTACAGGGGTGGGCAATGTGGTCCTGAGTTGTGGACTACAAACACCATCAGCCCTAGCCAGCATTAACAGTAGCAAAGGATGATGGGAATTGTAGTGCACAGCATCTGGAGCAGGGGTCAGCAAATTTTTTCAACAGAGGGGCAGTCCACTGTCCCTCAGACCTTGTGGGGGGCCAGACTATATTTTGAAAAAAATATATGAACAAATTCCTATGCCCCACAAATAACCCAGAGATGCATTTTAAATAAAAGGACATGTTCTATTCATGTAAAAACACTCTGATTACCAGGCCGGATTTAGAAGGCGATTGGGCCGGATCCAGCCCCCGGGCCTTAGTTTCCCTACCCATGATCTGGAGGGTTCTCCATTGCATTCACTTGCTCTAGAACAGTGATGGCCAAACTTGGCCCTCCAGCTGTTTTGGGACTACAACTCCCATCATCCATAGCTAACAGGACCAGTGGTCAGGGATGATGGGAATTGTAGTCCTGAAACAGCTGGAGGGTCAAGTTTGGCCATCACTGCTCTAGAACAATCCCTTAATTTGAAGATGACTTCTCATGCTAAAATGGATGGTAGATCCATGTCCTACTGTCCCACGTCTGATACATTTGTTCACTGAGTTCTGTAGGATTCCTTTCTTCCTAAAAATATTTAGGCCTGCACCCATAAGCATCATGTTTTTAAGATTCTGCTGAATTCATTTCAAGAGTTAGCAGCTCTCTGATTGAGATCCCTATAACAACTTTTTAATTAGAAGATATTTCCAAATATATTTCTGGTAATAATCATTATCAGAGAGACTTATTAGCCTCATTATCCTCTTCCATTGGTCTCTACATCTTCTCACAATAGTTTTGGGAATGTAAAATTAAAAATTCACTTGCTATGCTGATGCCTGTATAGCCCCTTCTAGATGAACCTTCCTTCCCATTGTACGAAGCTGCAGTAAAACAAATGGTAGCCTCTTCAAAGTTCAATGATCATTCCTCATCCTGAACTTCAGATTAAACCTTTATATATGTGGCATTCTATGGAATAATTTATATTGTTGATTCTGCACTTTGGTTAATCAGATGAACATATAAATCTTCTTTGCCACTGAAAAAAAACAAAAGAGATAGAAGAATCAGCAGCATGTTCTACACTGCAGGAGGAAGTTGGAGTGTTATTTTTAATAAAAATATTTGCTGGAGTGCAGGCATGAGCTTGACCAATTGGAGTTTACATTCCCTAGTTCCGAATGTCGAGTTACATGGAAATGAAGTTGAGACCCGGTTCAGTTTCCTCTTTGTTTTGCTGGAAAATCTGCACAGATTATTTCAGGTTTGTATGATCCCTTTAGAATGGGACCCACTGCTATTTGTCTGGGTTCTTGATTGTGATTGATTGTGTTCAGTCCAAGGCTCCCATCTAGCTCAGACTAATGTACTGCTCCAAACTGCAGATCTAAAGTTTTCACCAGATCAAGATAGGTCTGCCCTTTCTCTGATGGAAGATTCTGCAAGACTACCAGCGTTGGCCCACTAAGGTTTGCTGCTAAGCACCCACCTCTTTGTCTTTCAGCCCAGGAGCTGCAGGAGTGGATAAGAAGAGGTCCTTCACTGAGAATCTGAGGCGCCTATACTGGGATATAAGTGAGGAAATTCACGAAACGCTGGCAAGGAACCGGTTCCTTGATGGCCAGAGTGATGTAGACTTCCACAATGGGGTGGTGTCCGAAGAACTTGTGAGAAGAAGTGGAAGTCACCGCAGAGGTAGAAGTCAGCACCCAGCAGAAGTGGAAGTGAGCACCTCATGAGGAACACCACTGTGGGTAAGCACACATTTTTTTCTACTATGAATGGGGATATGGGACAACCTGACCTGCTGGCTGATGTTTTAAGCCAGTGGGAGGAGTTCCTAAATCTGGTAAAAAAATCCCAGGGCAATTGGCAAACTTCCAAGGTAAAGTGCCACTCAGGTGCTGGTTCTATGACAAAATCAGCCACAAAATTAGGGTTGCTGTTATGTACTGAGTTGAATAGGATCCAAAATGCAGCAGTCTGATGGTCCTTGAACAATAGGATTCAGAATGCAGCAGTCTGATTGGTTCACAGGAGCCACCCAATCCAACTCCAGGTGGAAGTGAATCCGCAACCTGATTGGCCTACAGCAGAATCCCGTGCCAATCACGTGCAGCCCATTGTGTAAATAATGTATATAAAGCAGACATTCTGGGGGAACTTCCATTCCTCCTCACCACTATGAGCTGAATAAAGAGCATGAAATCCACTCTCGACTCCGAGTATATTTCCGTTGCCATATTTTGAAAAGCAAAAAAGAGGACACATTTGCTGGGGGGGCGGTGCGGTGCGGGAGTGGGCGCATTATAAAATGTCCCTTCAAAATATACAAAAAACAAGGACCTGATCCTTTCCTGCATCATGCAAAATCCACATGGTATGTATACGTTTTGCACTTGGCTGTCTAGTACTGCGTATGCAACATCAAAAGTAGCTCCCTTCTGCACCCCCAGACATTTTGGCAAATTCAAAAAAATCCACCTGGACAGAAATTGTTACTCCTGAAAAGGAGGACATGTCCTAGAAAAAGGGCATATGGCAACCTGACCCAAAATCAAAGAGAATATGGCTGCCTTGCTCAGGGAAGCCAGAACATTACAGGAAGGAATTCCTTGCAGTTGTAAAAGTCTGTAGGACATTGTCACCGTTATCTGTATGGCAGGAGGACTGATTGTTCTTCCTTACAATGACCATTTCAGTTCAGAAACCCTGAGGGCCAAATAGCAAGGTGGCTACAAAAACTCCAGGAATATAATTTCACTACCACCTACCAGCCGGAGTGAAAGCGTTCTAATGCTGATGGATTATCCAGGAAGACTTGTTGCAGCTACTGAATGAGGCAAGAGAGCAGGCAGATGGCTGCAGAGGAGGGAGAACAAAGACAGCCAGAAAGCCCAGGCACGTTGCTCTGCAGAAGTGAAACTAGCCCTGGCTCAAGACTGTGACCTTGCAGAACCAGACCCAACGACAACTGAGGACTTTATGAAGGAATGATTCAGATATCAATGTTGCGGGTGGGTGGAAAATTAACTCATAAGCTCGTTCTCCCTGGAGAGTCATGTCTTCACTCAGTACCGCTGTGGAGGCCTTTTGGTCCCAGTGGTATAGTCTAGAGTTCAGGGATGATGTACTGTACAGGAAATGGGTAGAACCCACTGGAGCTGGGCACTGATGACAGCTGGTTGTGCCAACAAAGCTAAAGAAGGAAGAGCTGATGCCATGCCATGATGACAAGAGAGCAGGACTCTTTGGTGTAGCCAAGACCCTGGGTAGAGTAAGAGAGAATTTCTACAGGGTAAAGTGCAGACAGGATGTGGGCAATCAGACCCTCCAAGTGTCCCTATTTTCTAGGGACAGTCCCAGATTTACAGAAGCCATCCTGGTTTCTGATTTGATCCTGGAATGTCCCACTTTTCCTTAGAATGTCCCTATTTTCATAGGAGAAAAGTTGGGGGGTATGGAGTTAGGTGACCCCCGAGTCAAGGAGATAAGAAACTATACAACTATACAACACACACACACACACACACACACACACACACACACACTAACACACTACACATTAAAAACTTCCCTATACAGGTCTGCCTTCAGATGTTTTCTATCCTCTTTTTATGAATATTACCCACTCTGGGATCCCACAGCTAATTCTCCTCTGGTCTCCTCGCTGGCCCAAGTAGGACTAACTTAGCCAGCTAGCCCTGGTGATCATCTAATGTTTATTGGATGGATTTCCCCCCTAAATTGATTTTTGAATTCTGAATTTATTGTTATTCACATTTTATACTGTATTTTATGCTGGTTTTTGTTGCATCAATTAAGTGTTTTAAATTTGTTGTTAGCCACCCTGAGCCCGGTTTTCTGAACCAGGAAGGGTGGGGTATAAATAAAAATTGTTATTATTATTATTATTATTATTATTATTATTATTATTAATGTTGGAAGCCACCCAGAACAGCTGCTGTAACCTTGTTAGATGGGTGGGGTATAAATAATAAAATTGTTGTTGTTATTGAATAAGACATCCTTATTTTCATTGAAGAAATGTTAGAGGGTATGGACCAATGGTGCCAAAGGTGTCATGGCTAAATAGCAAAGAAGGGCCCACTAAAATAGGAAGGGCTCCAGGGCAGTAATACTTGTTGGGTTACCCCAATGGAGCATGTTGAAATGGATGTGCTGGGGCCCCTGCCAGAAATGAGAGCTGGCAACGGCTACTTCTTGTTTGCCATGAATTACAGTGGTACCTCGGATTACATATGCTTCAGGTTTCATACGCTTCAGGTTACAGACTCCGCTAACCCAGAAATATTGCTTCAGGTTAAGAACTTTGCTTCAGGATGAGAACAGAAATCGTGCTCCGGTGGCGCAATGGCAGCAAGAGGCCCCATTAGCTAAAGTGTTGCTTCAGGTTAAGAACACTTTCAGGTTAAGAACGGACCTCCGGAACGAATTAAGTACTTAACCTGAGGTACCACTGTATTTCACACAGTGGTCAAGAGGCTTGCACTATAAGAAACCAGGAAGCCATGACAGTGGCACATGCCTTGGTTGACAACATTTTCCCCAAATTTGGGATATGGGGAGAAATAAACCCAGGAACTCTGAGTCAAGGGTGTTCCAGAAAGTGTGTGAAATTCTGGGCATCCACAAAACACGAGCTTTAAAATAAAAACATGGTAACTCATTTTCAGTTCTTTCGATGAATCGTGCACAGCAGACAAACTCTGGAGAAGCTTAATGTGTCAATATTCCAGAGAGAAATATTGAGAGAGAGAAAAAGTGTTACTTTCAGAATCTGAAATGCACTGGCTCTATTATAGAAGAGTCAATTGACAATCCACCACCACTCAGTGATTTTAGTTCTTGCTGCCTATTTATTTCTATTTTATTTAGCAACACACAGCATTAGAGTGTAATGTGTCAAACTCCCCGCCTTTTGCTTGCTCGACTTCTGACAGCAGCAGCAAAAATAACCTTGATCTTATGCTCATGTCACTTTCGAACTTTCTGCAAAATGTTAAAGGAGCAATTTGGTCGGCTTGTGAAACACATGTAAATGTTAACCAAGGAAGGCAATGACATATTTCTAGGCAGTAAATTACCTATAATGGATGAGGGCCCCAAATAATCACTTTCCCCGCTTTTATCAAGCACAAAAGAAACCTCTGTGTGCAATATATATGTCATGAAACATTCCCTGAAAGCGTACCAACCCAAGAGATAAAAGTCTGCTCACTGGGCCTTTACTACACTGATTCCCAGTAATGAAAATTTTATTATTATACTTATGTCTCTATAAACTATGCACTGAAGGGAGAAGTGAAACGTCACAAGCTATTTCATGCCTTCTGATTAAGGGCCTGGTGAATTCTACTGAATTAGTACAAGAACATATCCAAAAAGTCAAACTTTTTTTGCAGATCAGAAAATCATTTTTTAAAAAATAAATAAATAGAAAAAGCAGCTTTGTTGCTCATATATTCTGGTTTAGAGATCTGTTCATACCAGTAGTTTGATTGAGGTTCTCTGCCCCCACCTCCCTGCCCCACAGGATTAACATTCAGGGCCTGACAATCCATGAATATAAAATCATAATAAAACAATAAACATTTTAAAAAACCTTCCCTATTCAGGATTGCCTTCAGACAGCTCGGTGGTCGGATAATTCCATAACCTCCAACATTTCTCCAATGAAAATAGGAACGTCCTAAGGAAAAGCAGGACATTCTGGGATCAAATCAGAAACTGGGACAGCTGATTAAATGGGCACAAGATGTAGGTCACAATATCATGATGGAAGATTGGGAAAAATTATGGAAAACTGACTTAAAATTTACAGATTGTTCCCTGTTGAAGGATAATTACATGAAGATGATGTACAGATGGTACACAACACCAGTGCAGTTAGGGAAAATGTACAAAACTAGTTCAAATATATGTTGGAAGTGTAAGGAAAAGGAGGGGACATTTTATCATATGTGGTGGGATTGTAAGGTAATTTTAAAAAATTGGGAAATGATATACAACGAATTGAAGAAAATGTTCCATTTAACATTTGTTAAAAAACCTGAAGCATTTTTTTATTAAGGATGATCTATTTCTGGATAATATGTTTTGTTTTAATTTTGAATAAAAAGTTTTTTTTTTTTTAAAAAAAAGAAACTGGGACAGTTTCTCTAAATTGGGGACATCCCTGGAAAATAGGGACGCTTGGAGGGAAAGCAGGTAAGGGAGGCTTCGGTGGCAGCAGGGCAGGGTGGGGCAGCACACTCCCATTTCACCTCAAGTGGCGGAACAGGATACATCACCCCTGCCGCCATTGCATGAGAGGGTTGAACCCATTGCCCCACCCCAACCTGCACACCTCCACTTTTTCATCTTCCATGACCTTTGGGGACTGAGGTTCTGCAGTGGAACGGTTTAGTGCTCTGGTAAAAGTACAGTGGTACCTCGGGTTACAAACACCAGAAAGTAGTACCTCGGGTTAAGAACTTTGCTTCAGGATGAGAACAGAAATCATGCTCCGGCGGCACGGCAACAGCAGGAGGCCCCATTAGCTAAAGTGGTGCTTCAGGTTAAGAACAGGTTCAGGTTCAGAATGGACCTCCAGAACGAAGTAAGTTCTTAACCCGAGGCACCACTGTATAGAGTAAATGAACACCGGATTTAATCCTCAGCTTTCAGGTTGA